TCAAAAAGTTATAATACCTTTTGACTGGATAAAAACGCTAAAAATATTATTTGGTTAGCTAGCTATTTTATTCAGCTGATTGAGTGAAAAAACTATTTTAGAAAAAAGCTATATATACCAGCGTTTTTAATGGATGAGGAAAATACCTTTTATTCATTTGTTTATTAATTTTCTATGCAAAACTGAGATGCCACATCTTTCATTTTTGATTCACTTATATTGCATGGTTCGATCACAAAAATGAGGGTATCCTCTGCTAACTTGCGCATGGTTCGATCACAAAAATGGAATCCTCTGCTAACTTGCGCATGGTTTTTATCACAAAAATGAGGGTATCTTTTCACACTTTACAATGTCTCACATCATTCAAAATCTCATTTTTCTCTCATAAACCTTCAATAAGAGCATTCACAATATTTTTGGTTCAATCACAAAAAATTATATGTCAATTGTCACCTAAGAAATAGACTTAGTTAATAAAAAATTACTCCCCAATGCAAATCGAAGTAAACTGGGTCCTGTTGATGTAACAACCAGAAAAAGTGACTCAGTCTATCCTTAAGTCTTTAGACCTCTTTGAGATTTTGTTAATTTTACACAGTTTTATCAATGCTAAAGGGAAATTCTATTGTAGGGTTGGATTTTTTTATTATTGTATTACAATAAGACATGAATGGGGTGTTTCAATTTTAAGTTATTTTCAATATAAGACTTACTTTTACATTATACTTTTCAAGTTAAGACTTTAAATCACTTTTTATTTTGATTAAATATGTAAACCACAACTCTTTTTTTTTATTTATTTTTTAAATAATTAATATTTTTAGTACAATTACTTTAACAAGAAAATTAATTTATTTAAGTTAAATTTATTTTGCACAAATCTAACTAATTTGGATTAATTTTCTCGCAAAGCTAGGTTTACAAATATATTTAATACTTTTATTATAGGTATTATTTTTATATATTCTTAACTTTTTCAAAATTATAAATTTTATTCACAAATTAAATTTTCTATATGTTTATTTAAAAAAATAAAATTATTCTTTTAAATAATTTATATTTTAATGTTATCACATATTATTATTAAAATTAAGTTAAAATTTATATTTTAACTTTTAAAATAAATTTCATTAAACTTTTGCATAGAGGTAAATTATGAAATAAATATTTTATTAGGTAATTTTACTAAAGATATAAAAAAAAGGAAAATAATTTACTAAAGATATTTAATATTTTCATTATAAGTATTTCAATAATAAATTATTAAAAAAAATATTGCAGTTTACATAATTATATCAAAATAGAAAGTGATTTGAATTCTTAAATTGAAAATGATAATGTAGTAGGCCTTATATTGAGAATATGTTAAAATTGAAACCCTCAAATGAAAAAATTGAAATTCAGGCTTTATTGTGACAGAATAACAAAAAGTCAAGCCTTATAATAAAATCTATATATATATAAAAAGATTTACCATTTTACAAATTTAGCAAGTTTTTCCCGCCAAATCATTAATTATATCCTATATATAGTAATTTTTGGGTAATTGTGAATAAACAAAAAAAAAAAACGGCTCTTTAATTGTTGGTTCCGTAATTATAGCTTCAAAATTGGTTGCAACTTGGTTTCCTTAATTACAACTCTTTAATTGTTGTTGCGAAATTTATGCCGAAGAGTTTAAAATAGGAATTCTTATTGACTTACTGTTCAAAATGCAACAATACCGTCCAACCGGATACATTCTAATGCAACATTTCTATCTTACAAAAAATCTGAAAAATAATACCGTCAACTATGATTTTAAGTAAGTTGAATCTTCCAAACAATGTGAAATCCCGATAGTTTTTTTTTTTAAAAAAAAAAAAGCTATAACAATTTAATCTTCCGACCGGTTATACATATTTTTTTTCAATTTTTTTATTTAAAAATATATAATTTATTATTAAAAGATGATTAATTTTTTTTTAATAAGTTAAATACATATTATTTATGCCATATTCACAACAAATCACGTGTGAATTGAGGAGAGATCTTTAGTCAAACTAAATAAAAGTTCTCCTTTCTTCAAAGTCTTTCAAACTCATCCAAATCAAACAATATATTTTATTCCTGCTGTAATTTATATATTCCATTCTTCTATCCCAGAATGTCCTACGCAAGCTGTAAGTTATTTTTTTTGTCGTGATACATTCTCTTCATCATATTTATAATATCTTCATCATATTTATAAGTTTCTATCATTAATTGAAAAGCCTAAAATATTGGCTTTTGTTCCATAGACCATTAAAAATCGTACAAAAAAAAAGCTCATTAACGTATACCCGCCTAAAAAATCTCAAGGTAATTTTACAGAATCTCATCGCATAAATATCGGCTTTGGGTTCCATACACATTAAAGACTGTATAAAAAACCCATTAATGTATACCAGCCTAAAAAAATCTCATAGTAATCTTACAGAATATCATCGCTCGGTAAATTTAAAAAATCTCATCTCTTATGTATCTACTCTAACATACTTTTTTAACACATAATTTTTTTAACCAGAATAAGATTTATCACATATTTCTCCTCCAAAAATATTAAATGCACATAATAAAAAGTTAATAGAAAAAATGTAGATTTAAATATTGTCTTCAATTTTTGTATTAATATCACTTATATATAAAATTCCATTTTATTTGTTACATTTTAAATTAATCTTGATTTGTATTTGTTAGACGTACAAATTTTTTTGACGGTAACAACTTATAAAAAAATAATAAGAAATACCGTCATAATTCTCGGTATAATTTCATTATTTATTTTATATATAAGTGGTAAATTTTCTCTCAAAAACTTATAATGTTTTTATTTAGACTTATGATATTGTAGATATTTTTATATAATATTTTATCATGTCATATTATATCTATATATACATATACACACACACATATATATATATATATATATACATATTAAATTTAAATATTTTTAAACATGTTTTCTTTACAACAGAGTTTAGAAAACATCATTCATAAAATATAAAATTTAAATGTTTTTAAACATGTTTTTTTTTTCAAAATAGTTTAAAAAAATTGTAGGTGACTTTATATCTTTTAATAATAATAGATAAACTTTTACATACTTTTACATATTTTTAGTATTTTAAACATGCAAACTCTATGTTCTCTTATACAAGTTAATTTTATATTGTTGATAATAAACTGATACACGACGGTCAATTATATCATATGTTAACCCCACCACTCGAACTCGAGACCTATTTATAATTATTAAACTGATACGACAGTAAATTATATCACATGTTAACCCCACATCTTTAATTTATATTTTATTTTTGCTCTTTTAGAATAGGATAATTGTTCCCCACCACTCAAACTCGAGACCTATTTATAATTATTATTTAATATAATTACCCGTGCATCGCACACGGGGCTACGCACTAGTTTTTCCTAACAATAAATCTCATAAATCTTTTTTTTTTATGGGTCCCAGAAATATTAAATTTCAACATTTCTAATGGAAAACATAATTTGTAGAACAAAACATTAACAACCCAAAATCAACACTTTGCAAAAGGTTCTAAGTGGAGTTTCACTTTCTACAAAGAATACAGAGCATTGTTAGCCAGTAAACACTATTAGTAACCAAAAATAACACAAAAGTTACAGTATATCATAGCCTTTATCTCACAGGCTCAATCTTGAATCTTGATTATCGAATAAGTAAAATGAAAAAAAAAAATGCTCATTTACTTCATGAAAAATACCAGAAAATCAAAACGGACTGCTGTCGGAAAACTTTCCCGCCAAAAGCAATTCCAAGTTCATTACTACCCAATATATTTCCTTCACTTAAAATGATCTGGACGTATAAATGCCACATATTCCGAATGCGATTCATCGTTGTCCTTTTGTTTCCGTATCTCACCATTCGCATGCACGAGCCACGAGATTTGAGGAAGTGCAGCAAAATCTGCTGAAAAATTTACTAAAACCTTTGTAACCAAATACCGTAATGCTAAAATTAAAAAGGAGAAATATTGATTCCTCTGATTCAAAAAGGAAAAAAAAAAAAAAAAAGATAATATCAAAACATTTCGGATGTTTGAAGTATTTACCCCCCAAGAAAAATAAAATAAAATTGAAAACCTACACAGTACCCAGAGATTGATTGGAAAAACCTCTGGTGAGGTGTTTGTGCAATTTTGAAACTTTTCTGGACATGTCTGTAATGTAGTCGAATCTCGAGGGAGGTTTAGCAAATTTCCTATAAGGATAGAGTGGGGTAAGTACCTGAAGATGACTGCTTTTCGGGATCTCTTGTAATGTGCAACACCACTGTACCCGCAAGTACAGTTACAAATCCACAGAGAACCGAAACAATGCTACTAACACTCTGACCATACCAATCCTAGAGATTTTCACAAATATTTAGAGTCTCAGTGCAAAAAAACAGTGTGAAACCGTTAAAAAACCAGACTATTCTTAAATACCTTAAACATTATGGCACTGGCAAGAATCGTGAGTGATGTGAACATAGCATAATAGATTGGAGATACTACAGCAGTGTTAAACGTGTCGAGAGCCTGAAAAAAAAAAAATAACAAAACAAAACCCAAAAATTTCCTCAAAACTTTATGCAACTGGCATATGTCTATTCAGGTAAAGGCATTGATGTATGGAGTTAATTCATTTCGAAAATTTAATGTGAGAAATAAACAAGTGTTTTTCATGAATAAAAAATGTACTTACCTTGTTTAAGTAGACTAATTGAGTGGCAATGCAAGTAACCGCAACCATTGCAAATACCCATGACTTGAAATGAGCTACTCGACTATAACCTTCCAGAGTGAGTTTTATGGCAATACCGATAGCTTTGATGCTCATAACCTGAAACGAAGCTAAAATATTTTTATCCAGTGCCCACAAACAGGATTTAACTCACAATACTAAATACCTATTAGATTAAACCGTATTATAGATGTACTTACAGTTAAGGATCCAATTACAGAACAAATTCCGATATAGACCATGATGTTTGTCTGTCCATACCGTGGTTCACAATGCAATACAAGTACCAAGACAACTGCTGC